ATTAACTCTCTGAATAAACCTTACTTGGTCATGGTGTATTGTATTTTTATACTAAAATTTTATTAAAATTTTTTGCATATGTTTATCAGGAGATTAGTTTGTAATTATTTTTTGTCACATAATTGTCTGGTTAGTTATTTGGGTAATTCTAGCCTTGTAGGGTGATTTGGGAAGTATTCTGTCCTCTTCAATTTTCTGGAAAATTTTGGAATCAGTGTTATGTTATCCTCAAGTGTTTGGTAGAATTACATGTAAAGACATCTTGACCTAGAGTTTTCTTTGCAGAAAGTGTTTTTAATAAAAAATTCCATTTATTTAAACCATCAGGCTTTCTTCTATTTTAATATATATGTTTAGTGCTATAAATTTTCTTTTGATTACTTCTTTAGCCCATCCCACATATTATCATATATTGATTTTCATTTTCACTCAGTTCATAGTACCGTATATTTCCCTTTTGATTTCTTCTTTGGGTTATTTATTCATGTGTTACATGACAATAATTTAAATACTTCGGGATTTTCCACAGATCTTTGTTATTAGTTTCTCATTTAATTCCATTGTGCTGAGAGAATATACATTTTGTTATTTGAGTCCTTTAAACATTATTGAGATTTTATGACATTGAGTATTATCTTGGTAAATGTTTGATATGCATAGGAAACACACATTCATTTTATTGTCATTGGTGGCAAGTTTTACAACTGTCAACTAGGTAAGTTGGTTCATAGTGTTGTTCAAGTCTTAAATATACCTGCTGATTATCTGTCTACTTGTTCTATTTTTTAGAAAGAGTGTTGAAATCTCTGTAATTGTGGACTTGTCTGTTTCTTCTTGCAGTTCTATCAGTTTTTGCTCCATCTTTTCTGAACCAATGTAATATGTGAATTGTTAAGGTTGTTATGTCCTCTTGACAAACTCACCATTTAAAATTATGCAATCATTTTCTACGACCATAATATCCCTGGTATTATTCTTTGCTCTGATAGCTCTGTCACTCAAACTTTGTTTTGATACTGGTGTTAAGATTGTCCGTTATTTTCCATTCTTGTGCTTGTAATTATTTGCATCTTTAAATTTAAAATAGGCTTCTTATAGGCAGCATATATTTGTGCCTTCTCTTTTTGTACAATTTGATAATATCTGCTTTTTAACCAAGGTGTTTAAACCATTTACAGTAATGTGATTATTGGTATTAATGTGCTTGGGTTTACCTCAATCATCTTGCTGTTTCCATTTGCCCCATATGTTTTTTGTTCTTTTTTTCCTTTAACATTTTTTGATTGAAAATATTGAAGATTCCATTTTGCCTTTTTTTTTTAGAAAGAGGGGAAGGGAAGGAGGAAGAGAGGGAAAGAAACATCGATTTGAGAGACAAACATCTATAGGTTGCCTCCTGTATGTGCCCAACCAGGAACCTGCACCTCAGGCATGTGCTCTGTTGGAGAATCTACCAGGTGACCTTTTGCTTTGTGGGGTGACACCCAACCAACTGAGCCACATGGGTCAGGGCCCATTTTGTCTCTTATGTTGGCTTATTAACTACAACATTTTTCATGGCTGTTTTGAGGTTTAGAAGGTAAATTTTTAATATTTAAAAATCTACCTTTAAATGATATTAATATGTAGAATTAGAACTCTAAAATTGTGTATTTCCATTCCCCTTCTCCTGGACTTGGTGCTATTACTAACATGCATTTTACTTCCATATATATTATACATCTTACAGTGCACAGTAATCTGGGGGCAATCACAAGACTCATGTTATTTGTTTCCCCTCTCTCAGGGAACTTTGTTCTCCACTAATGTTCAATAACTGAAAACTGTTATTTCATACATTTTGTCCATGTTTTAGTTGTTTAAATTAGGGAGGTAAATCCTTGTTACTGTATTTTCATTTGAAGCATCAGTGTGGCTTGATGTTTCAAATGATGGTTAATCATGAAGGCTTTAATTCACTTCTAAACAAAGATCATTGCCTATGCTATCTGGCCTTCCTGAATGAGTTCAGTGTTTGTGTAATCTCTGCTCTGCCTCTGCCTAAGTTCAAACTGCACTGCTTTCTTTGATCACAAGGTGGACCTTAAGTTTATTTTCTGAATTGCCATTAAAGGTCTTGAAATTTTTGAGGAAAAAAACCCACTAATTATTTTATTCAAAAGTTAGATGTTTTGCAATACTGAAAAAAAAAAAAACCAACAGGGACAAGAGGGAAGGAGGGAGCGGTAGGCGGGGGGTGGGGAAAAGGTAGGAAAGGGGCAAGTCAAGGAACATATAGCAAGGACTCATGGACAAAGCCAAAGTGGGGAAAGATTGAGGGAGGGAGAGGGGGGCGGGGGGGGGAAGTGGTGGGGAAAAGGCAGAGACAAATGTATTTGAAAAAATTAATTAAAAAAAGTTAGAGACATAGGATATAAATATGTACACCTGTTTATCATTTGCTGAATACCATTAAATCCATACTTGTTCAGTTTTTCATTCATAAAATAACTACTAGATGTACAGGATATGCTAAAATCTAAATGGCCCAATTCATATCTACAGCTCAAACTTCTTTTCTGAACACTCTTTTAAGAACCAAAGTTCACTGCCTTCTCATTGCTAGATTTTTAGACATTTATGGGAAGAATTTGTTCATTTTGAGAATGGCCACTCTGTGGGAAAAAAGGTGGCTGGCCACATAACATATAGAAATGATATAAATAGGCAAATGCAGCCAGAACCTTAGATATGGCTGTTCCTCCTAGAGAATCTCATGCTCTGTTCCCTTACTGTCTTTTGTTCACTTTCTGATGGTTGTTAGCTGCCTGAGCATTTTACATGAAGCCTGAACACTCACTCACCACTCCCTGATACCCCTTCAGATCCAAATATCCTGCTTAGAACCAAGGGAAGCTGGTTAGCAAAGGACTCTCTCTACAGAAACTAGAATCTTAAACCCACCCTTCTCTAAGGTTGACAGAGAAATTTTGATCTGTCTATACATGGAAGATATGTACATTTTTCTGGGCATATGCATGTCTAACCTTCTATCATATGCAATGGTTCACATGTGAGCTTTCAGTTTCTCTTCATGAAGGAATTGTTGAATATCCTTAAGTCAATAAAGACAGAATGCTTCTATTTGCTATAGAATCTGGTGCTAATAGGGCATAAGCTTCTCTGTTTACCAGTTTTCCTTCCAACAGTAACTTTTCTCTTTATAAACAGCTGTCTTGCATGACGGTGCCTGTGTCTCAAGCACCTGGAAGAGGGCGGGCTTTAGAATTACTTTAGCATCTGATTCATGATGTCTAGGATTTTTTACTGTTATGTGACATTTTCACCTGTCTATTCACTTCTCCCTTTGGTTTCATAATTGCTGTTGTGATGTTATATTTTAAAGCAGGGATTGGCAAACCTTCCTATTAGGACTAGATAATAAATATGTAAGCTTTACAGGCAGGCCATACTGTTTCTTTGGCAACTACTTAATTCTACCACTATAGTGCTAAACTAGCCATAGACTACATGTGAGTAAATAAATATGGCTGTATTCTAATGGACTTTATTTATAGATACCGAAATTTGAATTTTAGTTTTGTATGTTATAAAAGTCTTAATTTTTTCTACCATTAAAAATGTAAAGAAGTAAAATAAGAATTAAAAATGTAAAATTTATTCTTAACTTATTGGCCAAAAAAATAGGCAATAGGCCAGATTTGGCTCATGGGCTGTGGTTTGCCGATTTCTGTTCTAGAATCCTAACTTCTAACCATATTTCCACAAAAGACTGTCTTCATGCACAAAAAGTTTTCAGCTACTTACCACACTTCAAGGCAACTGTATTTCCCAAGTTCTACTGGGACATTTAAACCCAACAATCCTCCTTTGGTCATCTTTTTCATAAAGATCTCCACATTTGGGTGTCCACTCAATTCACTGACATACTCTCCTGACATCCAACTCAGTACAGGATAATTCTTTATATTCAAATGTTTTAGGAGGCTGGTGATGAGGAGCTAAGATTCAAAATGAGTTGTTGCCTCACACATCTTGTATAATTGAATGAACTAGGGAGGTTACTTACGAGAACTACATCTAAGGAACAAGAACCAGACAAAAATATTTCCCAGATGTTAGACAGGGAGAGGGGATTTTTCCACACTTTAATAAAATAGAGGATTTATTTCATTGGGAGTTCCAGAGAAATCAGTGGGACTTTCTCACCTTGAGAATTCCTGAACATCAATACTCAGGAGAGAATAAGAATGGGGAAAAGCAGCAGATAAATGACGTACCTACCCCTTAGTTCAGGGTTGGTTTTTTTTTTGGTTCTTTTTTTTTGTGAGTATAAGATACACCTGACTTCAAGAAATCCCCCAGAGCTGAAGGGAGTATCTAAAGGGTTGGGTTATGTAGATCACAGTGGGAACAAGAGCTTGCAAAAAGCTTAAAAGCTTAGCTTATTACCTTAAGAAGTACCCACAGCAGCCCTGAGAGGTGATTATCATCTTCATCTTGATAAATATAATGATCTTTAAAGAGATGTTTTATTATTTAACAAGGTCCAGAAGTAAGCTAAAACTGAGATTCTGACACAAGTGTTTAGTGAGTGCTCAGACTGCTTTTATCATGTGGTCAAACTCTTCCACTAGGTAATAGGTGTTCAGTTTTGGAAAAAATGAGAAAACATAAGAAAATAAAAATTATGTACTATTTTGCCCTGGCTGGTGTATCTCAATGGTTTGAATGCCAGCGTGTGAACCAAACAGTTGACAGTTCAATTCCCAGTTAGGTCACATATCTGGGCTGTGGGCCAGATCCCCAGTAGGGGCAAGTGTGAGAGGCAACCACACACTGATGTTTCTCTCTCTCACTTTCTACTTCCCTTCCCATCTCTCTAAAAAGAAATAATCTTTTAAAAAATTCACTATTCTATCATAAATTAACACTTTTTTTACTTCAAGTAGTCTTGTGTATTCATATATAAAATATGTAAGATTTGAAGTAAAAAATAGAGAATTTTTTAAACTGCTTTATTAACTTCACAATATGTAATGAGCATCTTTCCATGCAATAGGTAAAACTTCCCTGACAGAAACTTACAAATTGGATGAAACACAACATTCAATTAGAGGCTGGTAAGAGGAGACCCACAGGAAACAACATGAAAAGGTTTACAGCAAGGTACATCACGAACATGTAAGTTTAGGAAGCAGGCGTGTCTCCCTATTAACTTCAGGGAAAACATAAAGATTCAGGGCATAAGGCAAAATTCATCATGATGGTCATGGTGAGGGGGGTCAGTGCTAACTGCCCGTAGACTATGACTTAACTGCTTTCCCCTCAGCTTTTCCATCAGCTGTCTCATATCATCCCCAATTCTTTCCCTATTTTCTTGTCTCATCCTTGCCTGTGGTTCTCCAAGCCTCTGACCCCCATCCCATCTATACTGCAGGATGGGTTGCCTAACACGCGACCGCCTGCGATTTCCTCTAGGCCCACAATATTCACCAGCTTCCAAAGGGAGAGCCAAGGACTCTCCTTTAGTAGCATCTTGCTCCTTTTCATCCTTTTTGTCATTTTCCTGGTTGGTATTTTCCATGTTGAGATTTTTTACTGCTTGTTCCTCTTTGGACGCCATTGCTCCTAGGAGACAAGAGATGAGAAGGGACTATTTTATTGCTGGACTGATCAGCACCGAGGACAGAGGCCCTACTACGCACCTTTCACGACCCAGAGCTCTGGATTTCAAAGGCTTTTTAAAGTCGCATTTTTCCCACCTGAGAGGCTCCCTACGCCCTCTAGGGGGCCACCGGCCCCAGCTCTCCCCCCTCTCACTCCCCTCCCCTCCCTCGACCGAAACCCACCATTTTCCGTGAGATCCAAGCCCAGGCTTCTGCAGGCACCAAAATGGAGGATGGGGTGGGGGTTGGGGTCAGGACTTGGGGTCTCGGAGCTTTCCACTCGTCCTCACCCCGACCCCCGCACCCACCTGGGCCTATCCTTGCTGTCTGCTCCTCGTCCGGATTCTCGCCGCGAGTGCGCCGCCGCGACACTTGGACCCACAAACCTGTAAGGGGCCGGGGTGAGGGAGCGGGGGCCGCTGCAGCTGAGCGGTCGGCACCCACCGCCCGCCCCCGGCCCCGCCCCCGCGCTGACCACCATTTTCCACACCAAGAAAAGTGGGGGAGGGGCGGGCAAGTGTCTGTGAAGGGTCGTCGCCTTGGGCCGTCCAACCCTCCCTCAGGGAAATGCTCAGCATTCTCTGCACACACGCAGGGCCGCCTCGGGGCGTGGGGGCTGCAGCGCGACCCTTCGGAGGGCTCCGCCGCCCAGGTTCGTTCTCCACACCAACCTCAGGGAGCCGCTCCGGGGGCCCTTACCTGCTCCCCTTCCGCAGTCTAATCTTGAGGCGCCCCTGGTCCACGCGCCCTCAGGTCCAGTGGCAGCAGGAAACGGGAAGGGTGCGAGTGACCGCGGGCTCTGACGCTCCAGCGAGGCGCGCGAGCGAGTCAGTGTAGGCCGGTCACGTGAGGCCTTCGTCACAGCGAGTGGTGACGCCTCGGTCCGCCCCCTCCTTCTCCGCGGGGTCACGCAGAGCCACCGGCCAGGACACCAGCCCATGCCCGCGCCCCCGAGTCCCTTTTAATCACCTCAGGATGGGCCCTGTCGCTGTCCCTTCTTTGTGTGTTCCTGGGACTTTCTTTACTACCAAGGAGGAGCAGTATTTTCTCAGGGAACTGTTGTCCAAGCCCACTACCTCTCTGAGGACTTTGTTTTTCCTTCCTAAATTCCCAGGACACACCTTCCACCTGCTGACCTTTCTGCTACCAGTGTTGTCCATTTTTCCTTCACTAAAATGGTAGAAGAAATGTGTCAGGAAAAGAGCCTAAGAGAGTGGATATTTTTTAAATGTTGTATTTTAATTTTAGTTTAGAGGGAGGAGAGGGAGACAGACACAAATGTGAGAGAGAAATATCAATGGGTTGCCTTTTGCAAGGAGCCCGCAACCCAGGCATGTGCTCTGACCAGAATTGAACTGGTGACCTTTCAGTTTTCCAGACATCCAATCAACTGAGCCACTCTGTAAAAGTCAACAGAGTGGATTTTGAAAAATTCTTAAATCTCTCTGTTCTATTCCTTTTACATTAAACAAAAATCAATATACTTTTATAAAAAGGAAGAAATAAAATTGTCTTGTTTGAAAAACAGTATTAAAGTTAGAAAAAATCCAACCACCTGTCTCTTCTGATCAGTCATTATATAAATATAGACTCTACAGGCAGCTACTCTTTTAGAACTTGGAAAAGGACAGGGCAGCTGATGGCTCCTTTTGTGAGGAGCCCCTGGATACATGAGACCCTTCCATGAAGTAAGCCAATGATTGTGGAGTGCAGCAGAGCTTATTGGATTTTCAGAACTAAAACAAAAACTTCTTTACAAATTTCTGGTTCAATAGGCAATGTCTTTATTTACAAATCTCATGATCATGTGTTTAGAGACTCCTTATCAGGTCTACAATAAACCTACTATAGAACTAAGAACTTAATTTAGCAGGGTTGCAGTTATAGATAGATATACAAAAATGCAACTGTATTTCTTTATGGTAGTAATGAATAAATGGAAATTGAAATTGTGTGTGTATTAAATTTATGATACCTTCCAAAAATGTGAAATACTCAGAGATAAATTTTTCAAAACCTCTACACTGAAAACAACAAAACCCTGCTGAAAGAAACTGAAGATGAAAATAAATGTAAAAAACCATGGTCCTGGATCAGGAAATTCAGTACTATTAAGATATCAAGTCTCCACAAATTGATCAAAATCAAAATAGCAGGAAGCATCTTTATATAACTTGACAAACTTACCCCAAAATTTACATGGAAATACAAAAGACCTAGAAAATATTTACAATACATGTAACTGAAAAAAAAGTTTGTTCCCAGAAGGTATATAAAAAACTCCTAAATTTCACAAGAAGGTAAACAATGCAATAAAAATGATCAAAAGATTTGAACAAACATTTCATAAAAATACATGTGCAAAATGTCAATGAGCTCATGGAAAGATGTTTAATTTCATACCAGTTGTTAGGGAAATGTGACAAAACAGAGTGAAATATTACCCGTCAAATTGCTAAAATTAAAAAGTCTGACAATCCCAAGTATATCTGAGGATATGGAATAACTGGAATTCTCATTCATTGCCAGGGAGAATTTCAACCACTTTGAGAGACTTTTTCACAGTTTCTTGAAAAGTTAAGCTAATATTTACCATATGTCTCAGACGTTTTATTTGTAGAAATTTTCCCAAACAGAATTCAAAATATATTTTCTCAAAAAGATTTGTACAGGAATATTCACAGCAATTTCATTTGTGATAGACCCCAAATGGATATAATCTAAATTTCCATTAACAGTTGAATGGATAAACACACATCTTACATAGTTATACATTATGCAATAAAAGGAAACAAACTACTGGTACAAGCAGTAGCACAGGTGAATATAAAAAAATACTATGCTCAGGGAAAGATATCAGAAACAAAAGTGTGCATTCTGCATGATTCCATTTATATAAAGTTCTAAAAGAAGCAAAATTGATTTGTCTTGACATAAATTTGATCAAATCAGTGTTTGCTGGACTTGAAGGTTGGGATTTCTCTGACCGTAAAAGGGGCGTAACAGAACTTTCTCAGCTGAAGGAAATGTTCTGTATCTTGATGGGGTAGTAAGTCCAATGGTGAATACACATGTTGAAATCATTGAACTGCAGAGTTAAAATATATGTAAATTAGGCCCCGAGAAAGCTGATTCAAAAAATCAAATATCTAGGAATAAATCTAAATGCTTGAACATTTCTACACTGAAAATTTTGAGTCATTGAAGACCTAAATAAGCGATATACTGTACTCATGGATTGAAAGGAGGAGAGGATGGAGGGAGAAACACCTGTGCTAATTGTTTGGCTGTAAGATCGTAAAGGCTTAAACCAAGATGACAAATTCAGTTGTCATAGTGAAGAAAGAGAAAAGCTTATTGATTATGGAAAGGGTGAGAGTCATACAAGACTCTGGAATTTCAAGACAAAATGACTAGATAAATGAATAAGAGATTGGGTTGATGAAGAGCACAGGATCTCACTCAAAGGTGACTATAAAATATCAATAGAAGACTTTAAAGTTGGCCCCCCATAGACCTGTAGTCACCAAATGATATCATCTGGATAGAGGCAAACTGTTGGAGTCAGTATTTTAATCACCTGGACATAGTTGACAATTTGCAGGAATTAGAGGAAAGAGGATCAGGATGGACCATAAGGAAGCAGTTAGCAAAATCCAGATGGTGGGAAAGTCTACAAATTAAACAGATGAAGTTCTTATACAGATAGTTTGTAAGAAGAAAGAGAAGGAGAAAAAACCTGTACCTTGATAGAGACATTAAATAAATATAAAAAATGTAAAGGGCAAGACTAAACTGTAGAGTCCTGTTATGTACATTAGGCAGATGAAATCATAAAAAAAGAAAGGGAATGATTACTACAAAAGTCAAGATAGTGGTTACTTTCAGGGAGGAAATGGGAGACTTCAATTAAGATGGGACATATAAAGGGTCTTCTGGGGTGGCTGACAAAGTTCTGTTTATTGATCTGAGTTATGGTTTACAGGAGTGTTCACCTTATACTATTTCATAAATTTATAGATTTTTAATGTTTCTGGGTTATATTTTGTATTAAAAATGCTTTAAATTTTACAAGTTTTTTTTACATGAGTATGGCCTAAGACACCTTTTCAAGAATCATAACATGATAGCAAGATTTCAGTGTCTCCTAATAACCTCATGATAAGATCAGCGTTAAGAACCCTATTACATGGATTAGATCAGTGATTTCTCAGTTTTTATAAGTAGTCCTACAGTTCTTTGTCCTGCCATTCTATGAAATTATTCAAGATTTAATTGTGGTTTTTACTCAATCATCATGGAATACCCATCTACAATAAAACAGCTACAGAGGTGTGACAGTTAAGGAGTTCCTATATAGCCTTTAACAGCCTAAAGTGTTTTCCTTTTTTTGCAGAAGCATTAGGTTTACTTTGTGATGTTGTTTTTGTTGTGGTCACTTTTTAAAACAACTTTTAGAGGTCTAATTTACATACAATACATGGTACACATATGCGGAATACATTTTAAATGACTGGTCAGTATTGACAAGTGTATACTGCCATACAATGACTACTGTATTTAATATGAAACATTTCCATTACTCCAGAAATTCATGCCTCTTTGCAGTCCGTACCCCAACAAACTTCATTCAGGAAATCAGCAATCTGATTTCTATTATTATAGACAGGTTTCACTTGTTCAATAATGTTGTATAAATGGAATCATGTTGTAAGTATTCTTCTGTGATGGGCTTCATCTTTGTTATTGCCTTCATCAATAGTTTGTTCCTTTTTATTGTTTGACTACATGTATCTGGTTATCTTTGCTGCATAACAAATTACCCCAATACTTAGTGACTTAAAACAACAAAAATTTAGCCCTGGCTAGGTGGCTTAGTTGATTGGAGTGTCCTCCCCTACACCAAAAGATTGTGGGTTCAACTCCTGGTCAGGACACATACCTAGGTTTCAGGTTTGAGCCCTTGTTATAGTGCACACGGGAAGCAACCGATCAATGTTCCTCACATCAATGTTTCTCTATCCCTTCCTCTCTCTCTAAAATCAATAATAAAATATCTGCTGGTGAGGATTAAACATCCCCTTAAAAACAACAAACATTTATTATCTCATAGCTTCCATGGGTCAAGAAATTAAACACAGGTGGGTGGCTCTCCTACCAGGTCTTTCACAAGGTTCCAATCAAGGCGTTGACTAAGACTGCAGTCTAATTTTTTTTTATTTAAAAGATTTTTAAATGTGTTTTCAGAGATAGGGGAAGGGAGGTAGAAAGAGAGGGAGAGAAACATCAAAGTGTGGTTGCCTCTTGCTCACCCCTCACTGGGGACCTGGCCTGCAACCCAGGCATATGCTCTGACTGGGAATCGAACCAGGGACCCTTTGGTTTGCAGGCAGGCACTCAATCTACTGAGCTGTACCAGCCAGGGCTGCTGTCTCATTTTAAGCCTCAACTGACAGTCAACTTTGTAATTCAGAAGGTTGTTGGCAGGACTTAGATCCTAAAGGGCTTTTGGACTAAGGGCCTCATTTCCTCTCTGGCAGTTTTTATGTTGATGGATCTTTCCCAATAATAGGCTTTTATAAACAAAACTACTGTGAAAATTTATGTACAAACATTTTTTTGTGGAAGTATATTTTCATCTATTGTGAGTAAATACTTAAGAACAGAATGAACTGAGTCTCATAGTATGTTTGTAATTTTAAGAAACTACCAAATAGTTTTTCAGAATGGTTGACTTTATAATATAGAAATTAATATAGACAAATATTAAAAATTTCTAACCAGCAAAATATGAGTTCCAGTAGCTCCACGTCATCTACATTATTAGTCTTTGTAATTTGAATCATTTTATTATGT